AGCGAATGACATTTGCAATCGGAATTAGAAAAAAGTATACGATCCCTTTACATATTAAATTCACTTTTAAAAATATTATTTCAAATTCTTGTAATAGATTTTAATTTTACTTTAAATTTGTTGGCATAGTTCACACGACAAGTGCCGCATTGTTGTCTTTTACCATTTATGTAATATTTAAACAAATGTGAATAAAAGAATTATTTACTTCAAATAAAGCATTAACAAAGGAAGTGAATGGTCAAAGAAATGCATTATTTACTCATTCAACTTATTATTCTAAGCGAAGGCATTCCTTAAGTTTTAAAAACCTTATAGTTCAGGCATAATTTGCTTAGTCTAATTAGTAGACAGGTTCTTCTATGAACGTGTTTTTTGTCGCGAAGTTAATTCAATTAAAATTTACTCTCTGAGATATTCGTCCGTTGTTATCCTTAATCCTTACTTTAACTTCACGATGAAATCATTGATCGGAACGCTATGTATTTATTGTCTATTCATATTAACGAATAATGTAGTATCGAGTTATGGAGACGATCTATATCCTCTAACTATAATGCATACGAATGATTTTCACGCCAGGTAACTTTATAAAATCAATTGCAATTATTTAAATCTGACAGATATATCACGAGCTGTAGGATAGGTTATTCAGGCTGGTTTTTTTTTTTTTTTTTTTGCCCGAATGAGACTTTATTCTATTGCGGAGCATGTGAAAGTACGTATGCCTTAGACGTGTCCACCGACTCTCTACTTTGTGATTTCATTGTTTTTGGAATCTGTCGCTTAGGGTCGACGCCTTATGAAGGCGGAGGAGCGTACCTTTGAGAATACTAAAGTGTTTTCTTTTTTTTGCGAAAAATAAAATATTTCAGATTTGAAGAAACGAACGTCAAGGGAAACCCATGTATGTCTGGTGAGAAATGCATCGGTGGTCTGGCACGTGTCTTACATACCGTTAAAAGAATAATTAAAGAGCAAGAAAAGAAGAATATAGAATCGTTGTACATTAATGCGGGTGATAATTTCCAAGGTACCGTCTGGTATAATATAGGACGTTGGAATGTTACCAGTGAGCTAATGAATATCCAGCCACCAGATGTTATGGTAAAATAAATGAAATTTGTAAAGATGTCCTTTTTTTTTTGCAAGTACGTACGAATTGATTTTTAGGTTTTGGGGAATCATGAATTTGATCATGGAATCGATGGCCTATTGCCTTTTTTAAATACTATGGATAAAACTGAAATAGTTGTGGCGAATATGGATGCAAAAGGTGAACCGCAGGTGGCGAAAAAAATTAAACCATTCACTATAATTAAAAAAAAGTATCGCAATATTGGTGTAATTGGTGTTATCGTTGAGGAAGTTCCCGTAGGTGCATCCATTCGTTTAATTTGATATATGATTGTTAAAGTTTTTCGTATTTCATCGTTTTCAGGATTTAGCCGCTACGGGGAATTTGAAATTCCGTAATGAAAGCGAAGCTATTATTGAAGCGGCAAGAAATTTGAAAAAACAAGATCCTAGCGTCAATATTATCATAGTTGTTTCTCATGTCGGTTTCGACGTCGATAAAATTATTGCTGAGCGTGCTGGATCAGAAGTTGATATTATCGTTGGCGGACACACGCATACCGTCCTTTATACCGGTACTCCACCGGGTCCTGAAAAGCGGGAAGATAACTATCCCTATGTCTATAATCATCCGTCCGGTAATAAAGTTCTTCTCGTACAAGCTGTCTGCCACGCCAAATATGTCGGTAATCTGACGGTGTTCTTCGATAAGGCTGGAAAAGTTGTAAAATATGAAGGTGCCCCAATTTATATGGACACTCAAGTAGAACAAGGTAAGGACGAGGATTTCTTTAAACGATTGAAAAAATTAAAAACTTATAGATTGAAAAGATGGGTAAGTAAGCTTGGTAGGCTTATTGTAGAAGATATTTTAATTATTTTATTTCTCCTAGTGGCCTGATAAGAAAATAGACTACAGGCTTAACTGTTGTGAGATGTTCCTTTCCGTCGCGGGACGGAATAGTATCCAAAATCTGTTCACTTGAATTCAATTCATATTATCATGCTCTGCCAGAGATGACAAGCGTTTAGTTTTTATTATGAGAATCGTTGAGAAAAGTAGTTAGAATAGCAAGTGCGTGAATTCACCTTTCAGCGGTAGTAAAGTGAATGCACTGAAAGCTTTAATGGATTGAATAATATATTCTAAACCAAAAAAATATCTGATCCTCTCAAGGACGGTATTAGCTTATCGTTAATGCATCTTCAGCTGTCGAGATTAACAAGGGGGCATAAAACAGGGTTGAAAAAAGTGGACGGAATAGTTTGTTTAACTTTTCAAAAAGTTACTTCATCCGCTTCATCCACTTCCAATTATTTTAAACTTTATTGTCGGATAAGGTCCACTGTTAGATACCGAACGCTATCAAAAAATAGCAAACTGTTGCGATATAAAAGCTTATATTCCCATTACTTGAATTTTTTTATGCGAATGTTGCATAGATGCGTACAAACTTAGTATGCTCTTATACCATCCGCAATGTAGGGTACAAACGAGAGCGAAGACTAAACAAAGCATGTTGGTAGACTTCAAATAGAAAACGGAATAATTCGGTTTCTTATATAAAACCATTTCTTCTGCAGATAGACAGAACCATACTGATCGTGATACCATTAGTTAGCTAAGCCTTCTAACGCTCTTTTTACTGTCAATAACCTAGTCTGACCGCTATTGTACCCGCATGTCTACGGATTATCTCTACGTGAGTTAAAAACAAAAAAGAAATAAAGAAAGGTCAAATGTGTTCGAGTGCCTAACTAAACACGACGACAGAGTATGTCTGAAAAGCGAAACATAATGTCGGCTCATATTCTTCGTGCAAGATTTTTGCTAACATATATATATATATATATATATATATATATATATAATAATCTCGTTTTTAGTAAATTTTACTTGGCATAATTAAGCAATTGATGGCTGTGTAACAATGACTGCATGTGTTACCCAAAATTTCAGAAGAGTTTTACAACATTTTGTACATTTTTGTTAGAGGCAATGGAAATGTATAGTTGTTTCTCATTATTAGATAAAGACGTATTGGAAGCTATGAAACCCTGGAGAAAGTTGATCGATGAAAAGACAAAGGTCGTAGTAGGGAGAACAAATGTAGACATGCCAAAAGACATTTGCCGTTCGGAGGAGTGCGCCTTGGGTAACTTTTACACCGATGCTATGATTGATGCTGTAAGTAATCGTTTCATTCGACCTTAAGCTATCATATGTTTCTCACCTATACATTGTCATTGCCACGATTACAATGATTGCAGTTTGGCGATAAAGAGAATTGTAAATCAGGCAGTACATGGACAAAAGCGCCTATTGCTTTAGCTCATGCAGGTAGCTTGCGTAGCCCGTTACAGCAAGGAGGCATGTGTCAAATGAATTTTGTTTTATTTATTAGTGTTTTGTACAATTTTTGTTTTCTTTATTCAAGATATCCATTATTCGGACGCACTACTATTGGCGCCTTTTACTAATATGGTGGTAGGGTACGATTTACCAGGCGCTAAATTAAAAGAGGCCTTGGAATTTAGTGCAGCGCCGAAGAATGAGGACGAAAAACGTAGATTCTTGCAGATGTCAGGTGTTAAAGTCACCTACAATATGACCCGACCGGCGAATAACAGAATTGTAGATTTAAAAGTACGCACCAATGGTTGTCCCTATGATAGGTATGAAAACCTCGATGAAAACAAAATGTACCGAGTAGCTAGTCCAAGCTTTCTGCAAGGAGGTGGCGATAGTTTTAAAATGCTACGTGACTATGCTAAAAACATAAAGTGAGCGACAATTAAAAAGAATACTCGCCTTTAGGAAATTTTTACACTTTTCTTTAATCTAACAGCAATCAAAAAATTGATCTGGACGCCTTACTGGATTATATAAAGAAATTCTCGCCAATTGCATCAAAGCCAGAAGGACGCATTACGATTATTCATTAGATGCGATAGCGACGACAATGAAAATTTGAAAGGATCTTAAGTGTCAGACAATTTACTGAATAAATTCTTAAAAGTTTATATTCATTTTTATCTTAAAAATTGAATTTAATTGAAAAAAAAAGAAATCAAAACATTGAAGTAGGTCACGATCCACCTTCAAATATCCCACAACACATTGCTTAATACAATTATTCATATAAGGACTTTTCTTAACGAGGTGTTATATTTGGAAGAAATAAAACAAAATGCACCGCTCCGAACCATTTTCAATAGCGTTCGTTCGTGGGTCCAAACACGTCACTGTACCAAATTTCATCAAAATATCTCAAAAATTGCGACCTGTAACTTGAACAAAAATTTACATGGACAGACATCAGACGGACAGACGATCAGACAGGCTTAGATCAATTCAGATTATGATTCTCAATTAATCGGTATAATAAATGCTGGGTATATCTTAAGTCCTTTTTCGTATTACTTGCGTCCGCACTAACTTCATACACCTGTGTGCACATGTACAGAATTGGTGTAGGGTGTAAAAAATTTTAACTTCCAAGGCATAGTAAATGTGTATACTAACTTTTATATAAATATTAGGCATTACCTTCCAAGGCAGGCCCCGAACACCTAACTAATAACACAAAATTGTACTAATCTTGTTTATGTGTTTGATGTTGTCGAACTCGTTTCCTTTTTACTTGTTCTAATAAAATGAGGAAAGTGATTGCAATTATGAGAGAGCGCAATGTTTCAAATCATAATGCAAAGGGCCGATGCTAATAACTTTTCCGTTTCATTAAAATCACATTTTCTTTCTTTTAATTTTTTATACCCATCACCAAAGGATGAGCGGTATATATATTTGTGAAAGGTTTGCAACGCCCAGAACGAAAAGCATCAGAGACCCCCACAAAGTAAATATATTCTTGATCAGCATGAGACCCTAAATCGATTTAAGCACGTCCGTCTATCTGTCTGTCCGTCTGTCCATCTATGTAATGTCCGTTGTAAACATTCTCCTGGCCCCAAAAATTAAGCTATCGACTTCAAATTTGCCAGACACATTGGAATTGGTATTAAAAATGGGCCAAATCGGTCGAAGGGCACGTTAACAGCACTATGAAAGCTAAGAGCACCTCTGTTTTTCAACGGAAATGAATAATTGGTTTTTTACTCCTTACCCATAAACTATAGCAAATAAATGTACAAAAATGGAAAATATTAACCACGCCCACCCAATATTCTAGCGTATCAAAATGTATTGTATTTTTCGATAGCTTTATAACGCGCAAAAACATGCTTTAAAAACCTTATAAGGTATATAAATACTTGGCCAGTTTCAAGTTTGGAATGCACTTAAACATGTCCGTCCGTTTGTCTGTGCATCTGTTTGTCTACGCAACTTTGCAGTATTTGTGTTTAACATTCTCCCGTTAGCGAAAATGCACATATCGCAAAAGAATTTGGAATTGACTTCAACTTTTCAAAGGATACGTCTACGACATCTACATACCTATGCGGCAAAAACTCTTATTTTGAAAATAAAAAAAATCAGCTGCGCCCTTTCCATATTCAAGAGCATGGGCACTTTGTTCTTTCGCTTCTTTTGTCTTTCTTAGGATAACGGTGATGGGTGCAAAAGATTCGGCGCTGGCCGAATTTAATTTTTTTACTTGTTTAATCTTATTTGTTACTTTAAGGTTTCCAATCTTATAATGAACGTTAATTATACCCTACGCCACTTGTGGTAGAGGGTATACTAAGTTCGTGCGGTCGTATCTAATACACAGAAGGACTTAAGATAGTCCCACTTTTTTCTATACCCGATCGATTCAGTATCGTAATCTGAATTGATTTAAGCCTGTCTGTTCGTCTGTCCGTCTGATGTCTGCTTTTTTCAAGCTATAAGTCGCAAATCCTTGATATATTTGAAATATTGAGGAACGCTATTAAAAGTGATTCGGGTCGGCCTACTTTTTCGCTCAACTCCCCATACAACGCCCTATTTTGAACAGTCGTTATATGTGGAAAAAATCCAATTTTCAAAATTTTTCAACAAAAGTGGTTAAGTAGTAATATTTCGGTATTCTCAATTGATGTGAACACGTTGGACCTTCTGGGGAAAACTTCTGGGGAACCTCCTCCCATTTAGCGAAAACTGAAGGTCATACGACAAAACGGTGCAATTTTCAATGCTTTATGATGAAAATTATATCAGATAAATAATTTAACATAACAAAAATTAACTCTACCAAATTGGGACTCCCTCGGCCTATTTTTTGGATCCTACCCTAATAAGGATTTTCACGAAAATTGATCCTAAATTTTAATATATGGTAAGAGTAATTTCATAAAAAAATGAACTCTAAAAAATTTGGACGATCTACGTCTATATTCTTTAATATACAGTCCCATAATATTAAGTTGGTATAAAAACACGGTATAATTTTTGTGTTCACTGGCAAAAGTAAAAATTGCGTTAGACAATATAGAGCTCGGACGTTAATGTTAATGCTATCGTCATCGTCTATGCCTTATGATTGGCCTTAGCTTCGGCTGAGACCTTTAAAATGCCACCTCGAAAAACAATTGCAGTTTTCAATATCGTTTATGTAATATTTAAATAATTTTCTTTTTATTTAAACAAATGTTCAAAAAGAAAAAGTAATTCAAACAAAGCATGAACAAAAGAATTGTATACTCGTAGAAAAGTATTGTTTGACCATTTGGTTTAGTCGTTTGAGAGAGCTTTAAAAAGCCTATAATTCTGACATAATTTACATTTAGTTTAATTTATTGCAAGGTTTGGCAGCCTGTTATTCGTCGCGGAATTCACTTAAACGCATTCTGAGAAATTCTTATCTGATTCACTTTAATTTTTGATTAAAAAATGAAATCAGTTATCGGAATAATATATCTATTTTATCTATTCATTATAATTAACGCGGTGCCGAGTTACGGGGATGACTTATTTCCTCTAACTATAGCGCATATAAATGATTTTCACGCCAGGTAAGTTTACCTTAAAAATGTGACACCTAATACAGCTGATTGATCAAGTTAATGTGTAAATGTATGGTACCTTCTCCGCAAGATAACTGCTAACAATTCCAAAAAGTGTTAATATGTGCATCAGTTGATGTTGGTTAAGCAGTAATTTTAAGTTGTGCGAGTCTTGCGTAAAAGTAAGCGACGTTTAGTACCTTCGTCTCGTTCTTCTTTTTCGCTCTTCGCCACTCTGCCTTGGGCGTAGACCCACTGGACATGGGAGGTAAATATCTTTTGCAGTTAATGTTGCGCGATCGATTTGTTACGAACGTGAACTCTTTCGAGTTTCCAAATAAACATGAATAAAATAGCACATACACACATTATAAAAAAGGAAAAAATTGATATCGTATTCTATAAAGATTTTCTTTTTAAGGTATGTGTGGTCTTTTAAGGCGAAGATCGCAAGATCCCTACTAATCGAATTTGGAATTGTAATCGTAAAAGTTCACGTTCTTCATACTTGAGGAGAGGATTAGACTGTGTTTAACAAACTTTAAGGCAAAGAACTTTTCTCTCCAAAATTACTACTTGTTGGACAACTAAAATGTTCAGATTTCCTCGCTCTTGTCCTTCACGAATTTGAAGTCTTGACCTTGTTGGTGAAAATAATTTTTGCAGTTTCAAGCAAAGATTTGTGGTTACGTTAAAATCAGTAGTATTTGATTTGATACTCGCCTGATAATGTTTACTTAACTTAAACGAAAATTAGGTTAAGGCGGCATCCCGTCGCATATACATAAGCAAAAGAAAGGAAGAGGTTTTCGATAGGTCTCATTCTCGCCAGAATGACCATTATGATAGGATGAGATGATAAGATGACTGCATACATTGTGTTACTAATCTAGTACTGCAACGAAATAGGTTGCTTCGTGTGCATTATTCCCGTCCGCGTATCATTGGGCGCCAAGCAGACAACTGTCCACGTTAAATTGTAAAGATTGCCTTTCCTCGATTTCATAGCCATATACATAAGCTCTAAGGGTTCTTTTGCGTTCATATTTATTTACTTCGCGCTACTGTTGCAGGTCTGGGCCAACCTTGACTTGAATTTCTTAGGCTATTATTTTTCGCAAGTTGAAGCCATCCAGGGAAAGGCGATCGTACTTTTCACTATTTGACTGTTTTACAAAAAAATATTCTACTCTCGGTTTCACGTTTTAGATTTGAAGAAACGGATGTCGAAGGTGGCACATGTGATCCGGGCGATAAATGCATTGGTGGTTTGGCACGTGTTATACGAACCATTAAAACAATATTTAGAGAGCAGCGTGAAAAAAATATACATCCGCTATATATTAATGCTGGTGATAATTTTCAAGGTACTCCATGGTATAGCGTGGGAGGTTGGAAAGTTACCAGTCAATTAATGAATATCAAGCCACCAGATGTTATGGTAAAATAATTAAAATTTCGTATACTTTTTTTTTTTTTGCTTTGTCGCTACGAATAACATACGAATTGATATTTAGGTTTTGGGTAATCATGAGTTTGATAATGGGATTGATGGATTGGTGCCATTTCTTGAAAATATAAACAGTCAAGTAGTGGTAACTAATATGGATGCAACCGATGAACCAGAAATACGGGGAAAATATTTGCCATCAGCCATTGTTACTAGAGATAAGCGAAAAATTGGTGTAATCGGTGTCATTATGGAACAAGCTAAGGTATATTATTATATAAATTAGTATTTTCTCTCTCTCTCTCTCTCTCTCTCCTTAACTGATTAACTTATTAGGATCGCAGCAAGACGGGAAAATTGAAATTTCGTAACGAAAGCGAGGCCATCGTCGAAACGGCAAAGAAACTGAAAGAAAATCGCGGTGTTAACATTATCATCGTTGTCTCTTATGTCGGTTTCGATGTCGATAAAGTTATTGCCGAACATACCGGATCAGATGTTGATATTATCGTTGGTGGTCATTCGCATACTTTTCTTTATACTGGTACTCCGCCGGGCCCTGAAGAACCAGAAGATAACTATCCTTATGTTTATGATCATCCGTCTGGTAATAAGGTTCTTATCGTGCAAGCTGCCTGCCATGCAAAATATGTCGGTAATCTAACCGTATTTTTCGACAAAGATGGAAAAGTTGCGAAATATGAAGGTGCCCCAATCTATATGGACTCTGACGTGGAAAAAGGTGAGCAATTAACTTTTCGTTTTACTTCGACGATGTAATTAGAGAGGGTTAAGAAGTTTTAATTGAGGGGAGAAAATCCAGGTCCGCTTAATAATGCTTATAAAAGCTCTCGCAGTTCCGCTTTCTACCAGTTTTGTTAAACAGTACACCAGACATTAACCAACGAACAATTGTGGATAACGAAGAATCCTATAATTAGTATGAGAGACAAGTTACCGTTAAAAGTCAAACCAAGATTTGATCTGAAAATTAGAAACGGTTCAAGTTTTTCTTATAAATTCTGTAAAAGACTGACTAAATACTTGGTAAAGAGCAGAAGATGAACAAGGCTTTTGGACAATAATGATTGCATTCAACTAGATTTTGATCCGTGATATGCAGTTTCATGAGTCGTGAGAATCGTATGGCGAGTGAAGTCCTCTTCATTTATCAAAAGTATATCTTTTTTTTAACATCTTGTCGTCTCGCGGTCCAAAACTGTATTAAACTTTTCCAAATTGTCTGTCTATCTGCCCGTCCACCTATTCTCTACCTACGCCTGTTTTTGTTCATTCTACAAGTCGTAATTTTCGATATGTTTTAATAAAATTTTGTGAAAACAAGCAACGCACTATGGAAAACGGACTGGGTGAGACTACTTTTACGGGCGAGCTTCTTTAAAAAAGGCATTATATGAAAAAAAAAACTATGGAGTTTTTTTATTTTTCGATAAAATCAGTCCAAGATAGTATAATGGCGTTTTAAGTAAATATGGAAAGTTCGGATGAGATATGTTCAGTTGTTGAATGCACTCCCACATTAACGTTTTTTGCGAAAAATTTAATCTTTATATGGCAACGAGATTTCATTTTTAGTATTCCATGATCAAAATTGGCCAACCAGAGTAGGCTGGCATATGCATTCATTATGCTTCCGAAACCATTTTCTTGTCATGGCTGTTGGCATAAGTAAACCGAGGATCCATTTTTTTTGTATATATAATTCTAAAGTGGGGATTCGATTCTAATTAGATTCTAATGATAATTTTTACATTTAGATAAAAATGTGTTGCAAGCTATGAAACCATGGAAGGAGATAATCAATGAAAAGTTGAAAAATGGCATAACTGACGAAAACGAAGCAGACGAAAAGGATTCTGACGAAAGTAGCAAAAAAGAAGAAAACGATGAAGATGAGCAAGAATATAAATCTAATAGTAGTAAAGAAAACGAGAAAAGAAAAGGCAAAGGAAAAAGTAAAGGAAAAGGAAAAGGAAAAGGAAAAGAAAAAAAGAAGGGAAGCAGAAAGGAAAATAGTGATAGCTCTAAAATAATAGATGACGAAACAGAAGAGAAAGATAGTGAGCATAATGGTGAGAATGAAAACCCAGGCTACGAAAATAATGCACAAAGTGAAGGAGACGAGAACGAAAAGGAAGATAAAGATGAAACAAACAGTGATACTGAAGAAGACGAGAGACAAAACAGCGAAAAAGAAAATTCAAACAAAAGTAGTGCTGAAGAAGAAGAAGGTGAAGAAAATGATGAAGAGAAACAAGACAAAAGCGAATTAGAAGGAAACAACGAAAAGGAAGATAAAGATGAAACAAACAGTGATACTGAAGAAGACGAGCGACAAAACAGCGAAGAAGAAAATTCAAACAAAAGTAATGCTGAAGAAGAAGAAGGTGAAGAAAACGAAGGTGAAGAAAATGATGAAGAGAAACAAGACGAAA